TTAATTAATTAATTAATTAACATCCCTGCACTCATCCTGTTTAGGTAGGTCTAATAGACTGCTGGGACAGAGTTTATAAGATCACAGATCTTTATGCTTCTAAGATATATTCCATAACAAGTTCTGTACATATGGAACAGCATTTAAAATGTTTTCTATGGGTCCAATTCTGTAAACATTACTGGGATAGTGCATACTTACATCTGCATGATAGTATTTGCAAGATTGGATACTTGATCAGACGTAGAATAATGACCCAGGAAGCAATTCTAAAGATCATTGTGAATCTGGCAGTTCTGAGCTCGGAGAAAGAACATAATAAACATGAGGTATAGAGCTACTCTCAATTTGTTTGAGAAATTCACTTCATTCTGCTCCCATTGACTGTAGATGATCATCACATTAACCAGTAAGGAGTTAACAGCCTATGCTAAAGCAGGTGCAGTAGCAGAAGAAGTCCTGTCATCAGTGCGAACTGTTGTAGCCTTTGGAGGACAAGAGAAGGAAATCAATAGGTCTGACTCTCTCAATAGTTAACGTCTTTTTTAATATATGACTTTGTCTGCAGCCACAATGACTAACATATGTTTGTCTTTTTAACAGATATACAAGTAATCTAGGAGAAGCAAAAAACCTTGGTATAAAAAAAGCTATTGCTTCTAAGCTGTCTGTTGGTTTTTTGTACCTAATTATAAATGGATGTTACGGTCTTGGGTTTTGGTATGGAACTACCTTAATTCTTGATGAGAATACTGGCTATTCAGTTGGGACTGTCCTGGCTGTAAGTGTCATATTTTTACATCAATGTCTTTCTACAAACTAACTTCATTGTGAAGGTGATGTTGAGTATATGATATGTTGGCTATAGGCAGGGACAAGAGATATCATATATATGGAGAATCCACAACTGCTCAGGCGCTGGGTTCTTTCCATAACTTCCTGCAGAGTTGGTTGTGTTCTGTAAAATATAAGTTAAAATTAAGTTCCTTGCCCTTTTGGTTGTGAAGTTGTGTTTGGATACCATGGTAATGGGCACTAACATAAGAATTTAGATAGGCAGAAGAGAATCTTCACTACATAACTGGTTTGCTGTTGTCTTTTTAATGTAACAATAAAGCAGATGTAAAATTTTCATTCTTCTCATGAAGTGTTCACTATGAGATCAAATAAAGATGATTTAAATCCACATGGTTTTTCACTTCACAGTCATAGCTGTTTCAGCTAACGTGCTTATCTAATAGAGTGAGGCAAATAGTGATTTCTTTCATGATATTAATTTGAATTTATATAAAAATTTGTCTCCGCCATATTTGCGTCTCTTCTGTGTTTGTTTTCCATGAACATTCATGCAGTTTGTTTTACCAGCACAAATGTGCATAGAAGATGAATGTTAAATTTACTTTCCAAAAGCATTCACACCAGACACAAGGATTATTATAATTGCACTCAGAGAACAGCAACAATACCATGCGACAATATGACCAATCACAACTAAATAGCAGTAAATGAAGTTAATTGAAAACGTAATCAGATAATTTAAAATAACTAACAAATTAGAGAAAATCATAATCTGCTCATGGATTTTCCACAACCAGAAGAGGAGGTGAAATTTGCCTAATAGATTCTTCCTCACAAATGACTGATAGGTAGGGTGGCTGTTTGTACTCC